GCTTTCAAAGCAAAATATGACAGGTACATAATAGAAGATATTGAGGAGGAGATATCACTGAGTTCACAGTGATCCCACCCGATCACTGTGAACTCAGTCCTATCGAAATGGTGGAGTGATGTGAAACGGTATATAGCTGGACGCAACGCTAATTTTAAAGAAGCTAAAATGCAAAATTTAATTACAGCAGCGTACCAGGTCATTACTCCAGAGAAATGGAAAAACTACGTAATAGCAACAGAAAAAAAAATTTAGGAAATTCACAATTTGTTGGATAATATCGAAGTAATTATTATAAATATAAATAACGGAGAAAGTGATGATAGTGACGATAATAATGATGATGATAGTTAAGCAGAAATAAATGCGACAGCGATTGACAGAAAAAGGAACTACATAATTATAATGGTGTAAAATAAATTACGATTACTTACACATGAAATTATATACAATGACTTCTTTTATTTTCAACTTATTTGTTAGTTTTATTTTTGGATATTTCTACATTTTGTTACTGCCAACATATACAGTACGGTTTTTAAAAGTCCTTCCCCCTTAATTTTTAAACGGAACAATACATAAATAAAATGTTTCTTTATATTTTATTTTTATTTTATTCGATTTTATTTAAATCTATAAATAAATGGTTTGTATCGCTAGCACATCCTGAAAGAAATCGCTAGAATTAAAAACAAACTGCTTGTGTGACATAAATAAAAGGCAAATATTATTTATGTTTGAGAACCACTGACAGAAATAAGCCAGGCAGGGTCGTTAGTGGGCATTAGTACTTAAGCTACCCTCAACATAAAGATGGATTAGGCTAAGTAGTAAGAAGTGACGTTTATTTTAATACAAGTTTGCAAAGAAGTATAGCATCGATGTTGTGCATTTACCCGGTACAGACTAGTCACTTTGAGACAATCTATAGTTGTTATATTTCTAGAAATTCGTATCCTTTTTCAAAGCCCAAGAAGATATTCTTAGCGTGGTTGTCATATTGTCTAAGCTATAAAACATTTCTTAGAATTTTTCGCCACTCTTTTTAAATTCAACGATATACGACATACAATGAACTTTGTAACAAATTCAAAATTAAGAAAAGTTAAACAGATTTTCGAGATCACATATAGGACGGCACGTAGAACAACACACCCCTATGATAAATTTTCAGTTATTTTCACGATTAATAGCCCATTAGATTACCACTGAGCTCAGCGGGCACTCATTTATAATTAAAATCAATTAGCAAAATGTGATTCTGTGTACCTGTCATCTATAATGTACATTTTAGCGTAAAAATATCTATTTAAAAATATTCCGTGACGTTATTTTCCCTTGGAAATCGTAAATTTGAAGTTGGCGCTCCCATAATCTTATACTAACTTTTTTATGAGTGATTAATTGGTGCGGGTCTAACTATTTTAATTTCTTTATTTTTTTTTCTTACAAAAAAGTGAGATACAGTATTTTGTTTACACTTAAAATAATACACAGTGGACCAAAAGTTTGGAAACGCCTAATTATATCTTTAATGGGTGACCGAATTTGCAGAAGAATCGGGATACGTCTATTCTGCAATATGGAGATTTTAAACGAGATGATTGCAATGTTGCCAGATTTACTAGTTTTCTGATATCGTTAGTCACTTTTTTTAAATACAAGACTCTGTATATTGTAGTATTATTGGAATCCTCACTTTAATACGTGTTTAAACATATGTAACACTTGGTATTTTATCTTTAAAATCTTTAGTTTTCCACCATTGAATTTAGATATCTGTATAGTTGGTTGCCTACCCAGATTCATAACTTTTATTAACCTTTAATCCACCTAAAATAACACCTAATTTATAACTTTTCCAACAAATTTTCAGGTTAAATCATACTCTAAATTCCAACATATTGATGGTTACTACTGTTGATAATCAATCAAATTTTAACATATTTAATTTATTTAACATATTGCTGGCTACTGTCACGTTTAGACACATACATCCGGTTACATTGACTGCTTTGTTCAGACTTCCGTCCTAATATGCTATTTTTATCAGTTGCTATCAACAAGTCCTCACAGAGACTTCGTCTAAGGACTAACAACCCCAGTGGAGTTCTACGTTGCCATGTGTTCAATTCCCTTTGTAACTTAAATATCTTCTTCCTTCTTGTATGTTTCTTACTCAATATTAGCCTCATAAATTGTTTAAATTATCGCACCATCTTTTTCTTGGTCTGCCAATACTTCTTCGTCCATTTGGTGCTTATCTCGTGCCATTCTACTAATGTGATCGTTCCACTTCTGTTTCCGTTTTGTCACCCATCCATCTATGTCTTTTTTATTGTATACTCTTCTTATGTTTTCGCTTCTCATCCTATCCAACAGACTTTACCCTGATATTCGTCGGAGTATTTTCATCACTGTGTCATCTATTTGTTTTTGTGTACCGTAGAAGCCTCTTTTCACCCTTTTTGTAAACTATTCCCAGTGTTAATTTTTTGTTTTTTTTTTACCAACTGCTTTGTTTCATTTCATATTCTTTTATAGATGTCTCGGAATTCTGGAGTATTTGATGTTTTTTACTTCGTGTAGGCCTCTCGTTTCTCTTTACATTTTTTTTTTATTTCTTTTCTGAACCATGGTGTATTGTTGTTCCTTTTTTTCAGTATGACTTTGCTTTTTTATAGAGCTTCCTTTTCTGCTTGTTCAATGTTGGTTTTAATTTTCTCCCAGCTTGCGTTTATATCTGCGATGTCGTCTATTTGTTTTAGCTGTATTTGTGATAGCCTTGTTTGGTACATTTGTCTTATAGAGTCATTCCACGGTGATTTTACATTGAATTTTCCCTTGATGATTGCCTGTAGAAAATGTTTTGGTTTTATTTTCATTCTTATTTTCGCTAGTACTAATTTGTGTTCACTCCCTGCGACTGCTGAGTTTACTGTTCGAATATTTAGAATCTACTTTAGGTGGATTTCTCTTCTTCTTAGAGTGCCGTCTCCCTACGGAGGTTGGCAATCATAATGGCTATTTTTATTTTAAAACTTGCTGCTCTAAACAAATCAATCGATCTGCATTGGTACCAATCACGTAGATTCTTTAACCATGAGTTCTGCCTTCGGCCAACAGATCTTCTTCCTTGAATCTTTCCCTGTATTATCAGTCTCAAAATTTCATATTTTGGTCCCCTCATCACGTGGCCTAGGTATTCCAGTTTTCTGGTTTGTATAGTGGTGATTAGTTCTGTTTCTTTACCAACCCTCTCCAGTACTTCTTTATTTGTAATTCTATCAGTCCATGATATTTTCAATAATCTGCGGTATAACCAGAGTTCGAAGGCCTCGATTCTTTTTAAATTACATTTTTTTAATGTCCAAGTCTCAGCTCCATATAATAATATTGAAAATATATAACAGCGAATGGTACGTAGTCTGATCTCCAAATTTAGATTTTTGCACGTTAGGAGTGGCTTCATTCGTATAAATGCTGATCTGGCAATCTCTATTCGTCTGTTTATTTCTACAGTATGATCATTGGTTTCATTAATCAAAGTTCCCAAATACTGATATTTTTCTACTTGTTCTATCATGTTACCATTTATTGTCAATAGATGATGTATATTTTGTGGCCTTTTTGTAATCAGCATGTACTTCGTTTTTTTAGCGTTTATAGTAATTCCCATCTCAGCACTATTTATACTCAAGCTTTCGATAAGATGTTGTAGATCCTCTATACTCGTTGCTATGATCACAGTGTCGTCTGCATATCTTAAATTATTAATTAATTTTCCGTTAACGGTGACTCCCGCTTCGATATTATTGAGCATGTTTTGGAAAATTTCTTCAGAATATAAGTTAAACAAAAGTGGTGATAACACACATCCCTGTCTAACTCCTCTACAGATCCTCATTTCTTCTGAGTGTTGCCCATCAATTTGAACTATGGCACTTTGGTTCCAATATAATGTTTGCACTATATTTATGATTTTACTGTAATTTCTCTATTGATGACTATAAAATCAATCATAGATTTGTCCCTTTCGAGTTTTCAAATGTATATTTATACTGAAGCTTATGGTCGATGATTCTTAGATCGTTAAAAACACAGAGATGACTTAAACATCATAGTTTTTAAATATCAAAGATGTAATCTAAAATCAATAAAACTACATTTAAAGGGTTTCTACACACATATTTAGTGTCTTCAAATATGTACGTGCAGTAGGTATTATTCACACTTTTGTAATAACCTTGGTCAAAATTTTAACTTTCACGTTTGCTTTAATTAAAGTGGTTATACTTAGTTTAGAATAGCACTAATGATGAAACAGTTATTTCAAAAATGTTCTTTGATATGGTCGGATGGGTTTTTTTTATTAATATACATATTATAGAGAAATTGTTTTAAATAAAGTTTTTTTTGATACATGGTTAACAGCCAACAAGAGAAATTTAGTTTCCTTGTGATATTAAGATTTAGAATTAGCCAGAAGGTTATGTATATTTATTAGGTAGGTATATTATTGAAGGGCTATCATACGAAGCCATAAATGTGTCGGACTTTTTCAGTTTTAGCTTTAACCGCCAGTGCAAATATTTACAAAGTCATAGTTCTTTAGAAAATCCATTACCTCTTAGTATGTAGTTTAAATTAAAATATTTATTGAGACAATTATGTGCTTCCAGGCTTTCGTTTTATCTTTTTAAGATATTTTTGACTACATAAAATAATCAAATATACAATATACTAGAAATTTTATTTAAAAAATCAAAATGTCTAATCATATCAGAAAAGGGCTGAATCTGGCAACGTTGAAAGCGTCAAACTTCAAATCTTCACATCGCACAATAGGTACATCTCGTAAGATATTCGTTTTCAGACTTTTGATCTCCTCTGTATATATTGTATATCACACATAATTATGAAATTTAGAAAAAGAAACTAAAAAAAATGCAAAAACAACATTTTTTGGCAATCTTGCTAGTAATAACAAGAAAATTTACCTTGGGTTGGGGCATATTCCACATTAACGGTCGATTTCCTTGGCAGAAGATACTAAAATTGGCATTTTTCTCCAAAACGTATTCTTTTTCGGCAAGAAGAATCTGCGGCGTAGAAAATAAATGTCCAACTGAAACAAAATGAATGTTCTTAAAAAATCATTTATATTTTGATGTACACAATTGACTATTTTAACCGATGAAAACGTTTCTCATCATATTCTAATTATAGATTTATCAACTAAAGGGTGTTTTTTAGAGTTATCGAACCTGTGAAAAAAGAATAAAACACAGCTTATTTTTATAAATTTACATTAAATTGACTTTATTCGAAAGATAACCTTTTGGCATTATAATTTAAATATAACTTCTGGCATATGACAGTCAAATCTGGAGGCTCCATTTTCGATCACTTTTACCAATATTTGTCGCTGTTTATCGGCAATAACGCGGCGAATGTTGTCCCCCAAATGGTAAATCGTTTTATACTTATCAGCATAGACTAGTACCTTTACATATCCTTACTTAAAATAGTCTAGCAGTGTTAAATCGCACAAACTAGAGGCCAACTCACGCGTGAAATAATGTGATTACTAAACGTTTTCTTCAATAGATCAATTTTGGCACGAGCTGTGTGACGTGTTGCGCCGTCTTTGTGAAAAGACAGCTCCTGCACATCATGGTTGTTCAAGTGGGGAATGAAAAAGGCAGTAATCATGGCTCTATATCGGTCATCATTGACTGTAACGTTCTGACCAGCATCGTTTCTGAAGAAGTATGGTCCAATGATTCCACTAGACCATAAAGCATACCAAACAGTCAGTTTTTCTGGATGTAATAGTTTCTCAACATACATTTGAGAATTACCTTTATTCCCTTATTATTACCCTATTCAACCAAAAATAAGCTTTATCGCTAAACAAAATTTGCTTATGAAAATCGGAATCAACCGAAATCTTGTCTTGGACCCACTCACCTAGTCTACTAATGCCTTGCTAAATGATGATGTACCTTCAATTCTTTCATGAGTTGGATTTTGTAAGCACGTAAAGCACGATCTTTTCGCAAAATCTTCCATAAAGTGAATGGACACGTATCCAGCTGCTGTGCACGATAGCAGATAGATATATTCGGGACTTCCTGTATGCTTCGCTCTACAGCAGCAACAATTTCTTCTGTACGCACTGTACGACGTGTCTGTGGATGCATATTATCAGTTAGAGTAAGCGTGATGCAAAACCGTTCCATGGTTATTCGAATTACTTGCTCTGATGGATTATCGTTGACCATAAAATGACATAGTGCGCAATGCGTATTTGGAACGGAACCACAATTTTGAAAATAAATTTCTGCAATTTGGAAGTTTATTTACCCTGAAATGCCAAACCTAACTAAACATAAAACACTTGATAGCTGTCAAAATGACCGACAGTTAAAAAAGTGTTACCAACTTACATGTCTATGCCTTCAAAAAACACCCTTAACATTAATAATTTACATACAATCAAAAAGTCATGAAATAAGGGACTTCTTGTTAAAATATCTATTAAAATCTAAGAACATACATACACACTACACTAAGTACCTGACTGTACCATGCCAATGACCAAAAGTTGTCGAGGCATTAACTCAATAAAAAAAATCGCCTCTAAATTTTTTATTTGAGCTGATAAAAGTTGGTTATTGTTCAGCTCACAACGATGAGGAGGGAGGCGTAGATTATGTTCTTTTTACCAGCCATTTCGTCGAAAACATAAGCAGAGTAAGTATCGCCTGTCTATGCTTCAGATTTAAAGCTTGCGCAGACTTATTTGTTGCATTAAGTATAAATTAAATTAACTAAATTAAACGATGAGATAGAAAAATGAAAATTGCTCTGATATGGATATATGCAAAGGATGGACGAGACAAGAATACTACTAAGAACTTAAAAATGGAAACCAAATAGAAGAAGGAAAAGAAAACCTCGTAGATTACAGTCGAAAGGACATATAAAAGACAAATATATGACTAGAAATTGTGACTGGGATGTGGTAAACATCAAGCTTCGAGAATTCCAGGTTCTCAATTTCAGTTCCATTTTTCATTTTAAGAGTCGTCGTTCATTTTGGCTAATTTCGGAGGTTGCGTAACGTATTTTTTTACGGTAAGGGGTTGCTCTAGCCAAGCCCCAACCTGTAGGTGCAAGGGCTCTTCCTTTAGGAGAGTCATACCTTAACCAATGGAATCCAAATTTATGGCACTGGATACTCACCGTCACCCGTTCCATCACGGGTATGATTTGTTGTATCATTAACGTACATTGACTAGGAAGGATATTTCTTGGTCAAGGTTGTTGGTTGTCTTGGTTCTAGATTATTTGTTTTTCTGCTTCTTCATCTGGTCTTAAAAGTGGCTATGACGATGTTCCATGTAGGTGTTATATATTAATCCTGCGTCTTAGGTGATGTTTATGAACAGCTCTGAATGTACAGGCTGTTATGATTAATTAAATTAAATGTAACCGTTTTATTAGTATATAAATATGTTTTGTTAGTCTCTGCCACATTAAATACACAACATATTTGGCCACAAGTCACAAAAATAATCCACGTAAACGTCGACAAATGTTGTGAATTGGGGTCATTGAACAATTCGATCCTGCTAATAGTGGTATCACGTCTTATCTAGAGAGACTTGAGTACTTGTTTTTATGTAATGTAGTGAAGGAAGACAAGAAAATATACATACATTATTGATTACTGTAATTGGTGGAGAAGTTTACAGTGTCTTAAAAGACTTAGTAGCACCAGAACTACCAACTACATTACTTACATTATAGTCCTAAACAGTTAATTATCGCTGAAAGATATAAATTTTACAACACAATACAAGACCCGCATGAGGATATTAAGAGTTTGTGTCAAAACTAAAAATTGTTGCCCAATATTGTAACTTTGGTAAATTTTTGAAAGAATCTCCAGAGGCAGACTTGTATGTGGTTTACGATTAGTACACTATATAATAAAACGTATACTCCTCTCAGAAGATAATGTTTTCTTTGATAGAGCTCATGAAATAGTATTGTCAATAGAACTTACAGAAGTTCAAGATAGAAAGATGAAACCGGAAAATATAGCTGCAAGTGAAGAAAATTTAGATAAAGTAATGTTGAGAAAGAAGGAGGCTACAATTAAAAATAATAGTGGTCATCAAGCTGGTAGAAGTTACGTCCAATATAAGTCATGCTTTAGATGTGGTAGAAAACATTATTCATTAAAATATCCAGCCGAAGCATGGCAATGTTTCAGTTGTTCGAAAGTTAGTTAGAAAGCTTACTTACGATATATGTCTAACAAAACACCACAAGAATACAACAATTACAAAAAGATAAGAAACGAAACAATAGCACTAGTAAGAAAAATTAAAAACGAATACTGGGAACGCTTCTCAAAAGAAATGGAAGACGACTTTTACGGTCTACAAAAGGAAATATGGCGTTTCATAAGAGGCCAAAGATCAAAGATGAAAGACTTAATCGAACCGAAACACATAGATAACGACACATGGATTGAATACCTAAAGAAGCTTTATAATGATGAACAGCAAATGATGTTAGAACCAGAAACAACAGAAATCATTACAAACGAGGAAGTCGGGATAACCGTACAAGAAGTAAAACAAACTTTAGAAAAACTGACGAACAGAAAAGCTGCAGGTAAAGATGGAATTCCAAATGAATTATTGAAATATGGTGGAGAAGCATTAACAGAACAGCTAACAGCACTAATTAACAAAATCATCAAACATAATAAAATACCTGAAGAGTGGAAGAAAAGCGAGCTTCTCCTACTATACAAAAAAGGAGATAAAAAACAACCTGAAAACTACAGAGGTATTAACTTATTAAACACCACTTTGAAGCTTACAACCAAAATATTGCAAGGCCAAATAAATCAGAGAATTACCTTAGCGAATGAACAGCAGGGTTTTCGCACAGGAAGATCGTGCACAGATGCAGTATTCATCATAAAACAGATTACCGAGAAAGCACTAGAGTATAACAGACCAGCATTCATATGTCTAATAAACCTGAAGAAAGCGTTCGATAAAGTAAAGCTTAAAGATGTAATTCACCTTTTTTACGATAGAGAAATTCCACTAGATGTTATAAAAACAATAGAGAACATATACCAGAACAACAATATGGAAGTCAGAATAGATGACCAGCTTACAGATCCAATAGATATGGGCAATGGAATAAGACAAGGAGACTCGCTTAGTCCAACGCTATTCAATCTAATCATGGATGAAATCATCAATACTATTAATAAAGGAAGAGGATATAAAATGGGGAACAAAGAAATCAGAATACTCTGCTATGCAGATGATGCGGCCCTAATTGCATCCAATGAAGACGATCTACAAAGACTAACCCATAGATTCAACACAAGGGCAAAGGACTTTAATATGGTGATCTCTACACAGAAAACTAAAACAATTGTAATCAGTAAAGAACCAATTAGATGTAAACTGGAAATCGACGGTATCAGCATTGAGCAAGTAATGGAGACAAATTACCTAGGAATTACACTGTCTAGCTACGGAGATGTGGAGAAGGAAGTAAAAAATCAAGTACAAAAGGCTAATAAAATAGCAGGTTGTCTTAATAACACGATATGGCGCAATCCCCACATTAATACCGACGTGAAATCAAGAATCTACAAAGCAACAATAAGACCAATAATGACATACACTTCAGAGACAAGACCGGATACCTCCAAAACTCAGCAACTACTAGAAACAGCGGAGATGCGTTTACTGAGGAGAATTACAGGAAACACACTGAGGGATCGAATGAGGAGTGAAGAGATCAGAAGAAAATGCAATATACCAGAAATAAATGAGTGGACACTGAACAGAAAAAAGGAATGGAACGAACACATAAACAGAATGGAAGAGACCCGATTAGTCAGAAAAGCGAGGGACAAATCACCAAGAGGTAGAAGAAGTATCGGGCGACCACGCAAAAGATGGAGTGATAACCTCCAATAGAGGCATTAATCGATATTGAACAAGCATTTTGCTTATAAAAAAGAAGAAGAAGAAGAAGAAAGTTAGACATACAAGTACTGTTGTCGTTCGAAAGTTA